AACTTGAACTTTAAGTAGTATTTTGAAAAATGAATCTAAAATAGAATATAATATGAAGAAATATCAAAATAGGAAGAAATATCAATTTTTTAATATGAGAATTGAGGAGAATATTAATGAATTTCCGATGGCTATAGTCATAAACCTTCTCCTAGTAAATCACATATTCTCGGCTATTCTGTAGGGATGATTGGCACTGTGGACGAGCAGATGGAGCTTATCTCGAGGTGTTGCTGTAGCTGCATAGCTGAGTGATTCGGAGAAGGGTTGGGTGTTGCCGTGCTGAGGGCCTACTCGGTGGCGGACACCCCAGGGAAGCTGCTCGAGAGACCAGTGCCCAAGGTGGGACTGTGTACCAGCAGATGGAGCTAACCGTGACGTGTGTTCTTTTCCCGTAGCCGCTGTAGCTGATTGATTTGGAGAAGGGTTTGGTGTTGCCCTGCTGAGGGCCTACTTGGTGGTGGACACCGCAGGGAAGCTGCTTGAGAGACCAGTGCCCAAGGTTGGTGATATTTTCAAGCGTTGCAGGTCAGCCTTGAGGCGGAGCATGTGCACTTGGCAGATATCAGAGATGGGGGACCTGATAGACTGGAGAAGGGAAGAGAGTACGAGGTCTGAATTTGGAGACTTTGCTCAATCTAGGTCAGCTGGGACTGATGTGTTTTTTCTTTTTCTTTTTCTTTTAGAAGCTACAAGTCCCCCCCAAAAGAATTGGACCATTTCTCGATATATGTGTCATCTTTGCACAGGGGCCATGCTAATCTTCTCTGTACCATTCCAATTCTAAGTTCTAGCCCTCAGCGCGAAACAAAGTGTGTGCAATTGACCTTAAGCTATCTCCAGCAAAGATGAGCGACACACAAGAACACAAAGCTCCAGTGAGAAAACCAGAACGCCACTTAGACAAAGATGTGACCTCAAGAATGAATAATATCTCCATCCGCATCAGACAAAAATAGCTTGCGGGTGTGGCCGGCTCTCATAAGTTGAGGCAGAAAAATAACCAACAGGAGCCTCCACTGAGGGTTCTAGGGGTCTCAATGACGAATGGATACGTGCCCCGGCCCCCAAATCACAAATGATGAATGGATACGTGCCCCGGCCCTAGCAAAATTGAGCAATTGGCGAAGCAAACCCACCTCTATTTTTGGTAGGGCCTTGGTCGTCAACAATGTGATTTTTGCTTCCCTATGGTACAAATCCTTAATCTGGCTGCGTAAGGAAGCACTAAGGACGTTGAATGCCAACGTGGCAGCATTCATATGGAGAGGGGATGAGGAACACACAAGTGTCATCAGCAGGGTGGCATGGGACTCAATTATCGAACCAAAGGTGGCAGGAGGATTGGGCATAATAGACCCTTCCAATACAATCCCTAGCCCTCCCCCTCCAATGGGTTAAGAGACACCTGCCTCACTGGAGCTTTGTGTTCTTGTGTGTCGTTCATCATTGCTGGAGACAGTTGCACACACTTTGTCTGGCGCTGAGGACTGCATGCATTCATCTGTGGGTGTGGCTAGCTCTCAAAAGTTGATTGTTGCACACCTGCCTCACTGCACTTCGGTTATGGCTTTTGCTTCGATGGTTGTCGTGTATTGCAAACAGAGGAGCGGTCTCACCAGTGTGAGGTATGCAACAAGGGCAGCAATTTGGCTTGCTGAGGTCCAGAAGTCAAAGGGAATGTTCCGGGAAGCTGCCGGTGTGCTTATGAGGGCATCAACTGAGGTACCTTCTTTCCTTTTTCTTTTCTGTATTTTCCCATGTGTGTGTGTGTGTGTGTGTGTGTGTGTGTGTGTGTGTGTGCACTTCATTTATGTGTCCAGTACGCAATATGATGCAAGTGCATGGAAGGGCAGGGTCCTTAAAATTGATTCAATGTCAACTATACTAGACAGGCCTGAAAGGTGTTTTTGGGTCAGTGGGATTCAAAACGATAACCTGCTCCAATCCGTCTCATGCTTTGCAGGAGTTTTGTGGTTTGCTGGTAGCGAGTTTTGGGCACAGCTCCTCAAGGCAAGATCTCTGTAGGCTTAGTGTAACAAGGCGGAGACAGGGCAGCGAGGCTAGGAGAGGGAGGGAGAGTGAGAGCATACACACTCAACGCAGACTCGACACGACTCAACAGACACAGACACGAAGTGGCAGAGTAGCGAAGTCGCAGTCTTGGATTCCTGAACACAATGTCGAAGGATAGTCACAATGAACACAAGCAACGAGGCTGAAACCTGGTTGCCCGTACTGGGCTTGAGTCCGGTCTTAAGTACCGGACTCAAGTTCAGTCCTGAGGGCAGAAGTGCAAATTGCCTCAGGGCTGAACTGAAAATCGAAGGTCTGAGTCTGGGCGCCAGAATGCCGGATGATGCCAAGTATCGAATTCCAAAAGTGCCAAAAGAGGAATTTGAGAACGGGCGCCAAGAGTCAGGGGCCTGAGAACAGAGACCCAAAAATGAAATAGCAGCCTGGCGGGTGGTAACCTGCGGACCAGGGGTCGAGCCCTGGCTGAGTCCGTAACACTCTTTCCGCCCTCTGGAAGGCAACGTCCCAGCTGCCAAAGACCTGATGAACAACCGTGAAGGATGGGATGGGGCCGATCGCTGGTCAGAAAGGAAAGGGGGAGTGATGCAAGTACAGGGTAATCTTACTGATGTTCTACAAGTGGGAAGGTATCAGTGTTCAGGTAACAGGGTAATTGAGGCGCTACAAGGTTGAAGTAACAGGTGACAGGGCATACTATTGATGTTCTACGGGGATGAGGGAATCAATGCCCAAGTAACAGGGTAATCCTATTGAGGTTCTACAAGGGTGAGGGTAGCAATGTTTAGGTAACAGGGTAGTCCTATTGAAGTTCTACAAGGTTGAGGGTAGCAATGTTCAAGTAACAGGGTGATCCTACTGAGGTTCTACAAGTAACATGGCAGCCCTATTGATGTTCTACAAGGTTATAGGTTGTCAGGTTTAAGAAAAAGAAAAAGAAAAATAGTTTGTTCAATGCTCAAGGGCTGGGGTCTGAGGAATCTGGGGAGAACAAAGTCTCAGGTCTGTAACAAAGTGTTAAAATGTGAGAAATGTCTTGAGGAAGGTCTTCAGAGCTCTTGATCATATCCAGGATAGGTGAGAGAACCGGTCTTCAGCGGCTGCAACAGGTAGTTGTCGAATGTCCAAGCTGGGGAAAAACGAAGTAGGAGTACGAGTGTCCAAAGTCCAAGTGCTGGAGTACGTCTGGTTCATGAACTGCAAGGAGGTCTGATCCTGGAGCAAGGAAATCGCAGACTGATGAAAAGGTCCAGATCACACATTGCTGCTCCAGTAAGTCCACGAGTCCAGATGCCGGCCAAGGAAACAGCATGGTGGCCAAACCAGCTGCGTTATCTTCATGATCATGTGGCAGCAGGCCATTGTCCTCGTGCGCTTGCCATTAGATCCTTTATCGCCGGCGTGACACAGGTCCACAACCATTGGTCAAGAGAGACAGAGAGTGTGGTAGAGGACAAATGGGAAGGACTTAGGCTGAGGCAAGGGCGGATCAGACAACGAGAAATCAAGATAAAGGGTAGGGGTTAGGCTGGGTTCAGGGGTGGTGTGTGTAGAGTCGGTATGTACAGGTCGAGGCATAGGCAAGTAGCTAGCTATGAGACAGGGTGGGTACGATCATAGGCACGAATGAGTTTCATGGTGTTCTTTCCAAGTTGATTTGCAAGGGTGGGTATGATCATAGGCACGATCATAGGTACGATCATAGATTTGCAAGGGGTTCCCAAGTTGATTCTTCGTTTGGGTATCATTTCCATTTTACTTTGTCTTCTGTGATAGACTCGGGTTGGTTGGATACTTGATTTCTATGGCCGATGATAGACTCCACATAGAATTCAGGACTGGTGGGGAGCATGATAGGTGCTGGACGAGGATGAGGGCGATCAGAGAACTGAGGAGGTGATGGAAGACAGGATTTACGCGGTTCATGTCAGATGGGAGTTGGAGCTTGTAATGTACAGCGGATGTTTTTTCAATGATGGGGAATATACCGAGCCACTTGTTCGAAAGTTTCTTGGACAAGCCTTGTTCGGGATCAAAGCGTTTGGCGGAGAGGCAGACTTCGTTCCCAAAAGATAGGATTTACGCGGTTCATGTCATATGGGAGTTGGAGCTTGTAATTTAGCGGATGGTTTTTCAATGATGGGAAATGGACCGAGCCACTTGTTCGAGAGTTTCTTGGACAAGCCTTGTTCGAGATCAAAGCGTTTGGTGGAGAGGCAGACTTCGTTCCCAACATGGAAAGTCACATCACGACAGTGTTTGTTCGTTTGCTTGGCTTGTTGTCCGTGAGTTCGTTGAATAGATTCAGTGGCTTCTCTCAACCCATTCATGAGAGAGGGACAAAGTAGATGGGTTGAGCTGCGAGGGGAGCAAGAAGTCAGAGGGAAGGCGAGGATGGTAGCCAAGGTCGAGGTAGAAAGGAGACATGGGGCAAACAACTTTGTTGTAGGCTATCCCGGCAGCAGAGAGGAGCTGGTCCTAATCGTGCTGATGGGGATGACAATACTTTCGGAGGATGCGCTGGAGAGTATCGTTCATCTTCTCTGTTTGGCGATTAGTCTGGGGTTGAAAGGCAGTGTTGTACTTGAGGGTGGTCCTGTATTCCTTGATCTCCAAAACTGTGAGAGGAGTCGGGAGTCGCGATCGCAGATGATGTTTTTTGGGAGACCATGATGACGGGTGACGTGGTCGAAGAAGAGTTTGGCGACGTCCTTGGCTTGGCAGGTGGTGGTGCAAGGGATGAAATGGGTGCACTTGGTAAGGCGGCAAACAACGACATAGGTGCAATCGTGACCATGGTCGGTCGTGGGGAGACCACAAACGAAGTCCATGGAGATGGATTGCCAACAGTGTGTGGGTATGGGGAGAGACTGAAGTTTGCCTACCTTATCTTGGTTGGAGGGATTGACAGCTTGGCAAGTAGGGCAAGAATGGATGTAGGCGTTGACGTCGGCAAGGAGTGAGGGCCTGTAGAGGTAACGGGAGATATTGTCAAAGGTTTTCTGGAAATCGAGGTGTCCGACAGTCTTGGCGTCATGGTGTTCAACCAAAAACTGCGTACGGAGACGACGGACGGAAGGGATGCAAAGGCGGCGAGTTCCTTTGGTGTCGATGTAGAGGAGATGGTCGATGAGGACAGTGTCGAGGTCGCGGAGTTTGGTGTAGGTAGGGGCGAAGTCGGGGAAGGAGGTGTAGCCATGGATGAAGCGATGTTGGAGAGATTGGGGGAGGTTGACATGCGTCATGGACTCATTGCAGCAAAGACTTTCTTAGGGGGCTTGTGATCGGGTCGGCGAGAGAGGGCATCGACAACACAATTGGTCTTACCGGGAGTATGGCAGATGGTGAAGGTAAACTGGGCGAGAAAGTCCAACTTGCGGGCCTGACGAGGAGTGATATCCTTTTTGGTGAGGATACCAACGGTGTTGTCGGTGCGAATGGTAAAGTACTGGTCATGGAGGTAAGGGCGCCAGACTTAAGGGCATAGATGACGGCAAGGAGTTCCTTCTCATTGGAGGGATAGTCCACGCTCGAGGCGGCTAAAGTGCATTCGCTAAGCTTAGCGTAGAACTTCTGCTCGCGAAGGATGGGAAGTACCATCTCAATGTGTTGAAGGTGGGACTAAAGACGAGGATGTCGTCGAGGTGAATCACGACACAAACTTCGAGGAGATCGCGGAAGATGTGGTTCATGGTGGACTGGAAGGTCGCTGGGGCATTTGTGAGGCCGAAAGGAATCACTAGGAATTCGTAATGGCCAAAGCGAGGGCGGAAGGCGATTTTATGGGTATCTTCCTCGCGAATACGGATTTGGTTGAAGCCACTGCGGAGGTCAATCTTGGTGAAGTATTTGGATCCACAGAGGCGATCAAGAAGTTCAGATATCCGGGGGAGTGGATACTTATTCTTGATTGTGATCCGGTTCAAGGCGCGGTAGTCTGTGCACATGCAGAGCTCCGAGGTGCTGCCCTTTTTCACGAAGAGGCAGCTGGTTTCGAAGGGGGATGCGTGAGGCTTAATGAATCCTTTTTCAAGGAGTTCATTGAGCTAGCACTTGATCTCTTCAACCTATGGGACGGAGAGTTGGTATGGAGGGTGGCAAGGAAGGGAATGGCCGGGTTCGAGATCGATGGTGTGAGACACACCGCGATCTGGTGGTAAGCCGGCAGGCAAGGACTTGGGGAAGATGTCCTTGAATTCTGCGAGGAGAGAGGTGATGCGAGTGTTGGATGGGGGGGGCTTGGTCAGGTTTGTCCGTTGGAATCAAGTTCTCGGGACGCTCGAGATCGATGACGAGGCAATAGTAGGTGGAGTCAGGGTGTTGGCGAGACATGTGGAGGAATTGGTGGGGGGAGATGGGGGTGGGGTTGTAGGGGGAAGGATATTAGGGATGTTGAGGGTAGAGTTCAAAGTAGAAGAGAGGCAGGCGAAAGAGGGGTAGAAAGAGTAGGGCATGTAGCGATCAATCCAGATAGTTCCGAGGACGACCTTGCACATAAGGTGCATGACGTTGAAGGAGATCTGACTGTGGAGGGAGCCGACGGTCATGGTGACCTCGGGAACTGTGCGATCGACAATGATGGTTGAGTTCTTGTCCCCTAAGCGAATGGTGATCACACTGATCAGGGAGTCGTAGCCGGTTGAGGGGAGACTGGCTTTGTCGACACGAGCGTCGGTAATGAAGTTGTCGTT